AGGAATAAAATAGTTCATTCACTCTTTTCAAAATAATTAAAGGATTGACGTCCAATTTGAAATGAGTCTTTTTCTTTTAAATAAACTATTTTCCCCTTGATTTCTTGTGAAAAATTAATTTTTTTAAATATTATTAGAAATGCATGAATCAAATTAACATAAAAAATATTATAGAGACTACTAGTATAATTTGTCATTTATCATTTAATAATACTATCATACAAACACTATTAATATATATTGGTCAAGGGCCAACTAATTTGGATATTGTAGGGAATGTAGTTTGGAAATACTCTTTTGATCCACTAGAGCGCTCGAGATCCTCAGCTAACAACCTGAAAAGGAATAAACACTCCAGTCGGGGGTACCGGAATTAGCACTCCGACGGACAAGTCAGTCTCTACTCTTTGGATTACTTGTATTTTAAGTTAAGCGTATTGATTCTTACATACCTCTTTCTAGCAGATATTCTTCTATTTATATATTTTCTTTCTTGGGCCTCGGGGCTGGGCCTACTTTCGATTTGCCGTATAACTATTTACTCGGCTACTTTTGCAGCAAACCGCGTTCCACTCGGCCCCATACTCAACTGGCTATTTGGCCGAATAGGGTAGGGTTTAAGTGTAAGATGGGCCCGAATGCGATACATATATTTCGACTCTTCAGGTCCAATCATTCGGCCTCTTTACGTCTCCCAATATTCGGCCCGCACAGATATATATAGTCTCAACCCATTTGATTCTCTCATTCCTTTGGACAAAAGAAGAAATCTAATCAAAGGTATGTTCACAAATTGAATGGTTTTTTTAGCCATCTGATTCATTTCATGATTCACATATATAGATCGATGGTCCACTCCTAAGATATTATTCTCTACAATGACTGATAGCATGCAATTCTTTATACTCGAAAGAGAAAGGGTATAAAAAAGACACATGAGCAATCATGGCCATAAGTTAATCAACAAACATTTTCCTGGACCCTTCATCATTTATTCTTGACCATTCAAAAAGTATGCTATAAACATGAATGTTTAATCATCATCTGATGGGATTACTTTTTGGACAGACTTCTCCTCCGTCTATTAATTGAGTTGGAGGGTCTAGTTGAAGGATTGCGGATTAAAATCGAACCCATTTCACTGATTAAAATAGTTTATTTTGTAACATTCATCAAGAATTTTTTTTTAGGGGTCAATCAACAAGAAATTATTTATAATAAGAAGATAATTACAACTAAACAACAATAGTCTAATAACTATAGAAACTCAACAACCAGTCTCATAACGGAGAAAGAAAAACCAAATGAGCAAATACAACAAAATGTCCCATAAAGGGAAAGAAATTATCAATCTCTTCATATAACAATAATTGACCCTTTGATCTCACAGATAAAAATATATAACGGTAGAGTGGCCGACTGAGTTAGTTCAATTGTTTCAACCAAGTAGATAGTTAAAAAAATTAAGTTAATGAGGTATCAATATTCATATTGGGGATCACATTTGATGAAAAATGAACAATCAAATTTTATAAAAAAAATGTACTCTAATCATATGACTCTTGAGATCTAATCAATCTAATATTATACATAAATAATTTATTTAATGAGCTCTACAAGATAAAATTTTTGGATCACGATGCACTTGTTGTGAACCCACAGTCTTCTCAAATTGATGGAGCGGAGGGTATCCTGCTTCTACTGTTTTAAAAAATATTATATAAAATAAGTGTGAAATGTTGGTCACACCTCCAATAAATATAGATCACTAATTGTTTTTTCTAAAGAATTTTTATGAATGTGTAATATTGCTGTTATTTTTTTGGATGTAAGAAAAGTCTTCTAGGTGGGGCCACGTGGTGGTGGGGTCTAAGTCTTTCATGTATACACTGCATATGATTGTATGAGTGTCCCCTAGCATTAGTTGTATCCAAGTTAAAAACTACATACAAGGCCAAGACCAAAAGAGAAACTGAAATGACCTATATTTATAATTTAAATTAATACATTTAAAAGTTGACAATACATGTATTTTTGGTCCTGAATTCGGTTTTTAGATGAACTAATTTATTTGGGTGCTTCTTGTTGAAGTCTAGTTGATTTTTTTTTTATATGATAGAGAATTATATTTAATTACAAGGGTGGTGGTGGTCCATCAAGTACACTGCTCATTTTCCTTGCATGTCAAGCAACCTTGTAATTCTCTCTCTCTCTCTCTATGCTACATTCATGGCAATAGAATCATGATCAGCACTCCAGTTCAAAACCCATGTGATTCCTATCATCATTTTCTATTCTGTTTTCCTCAATTATAGTTTTTGTATCAGATTATCAAACTGTAAGAATTTCCTGATATCGTTTTTTTTTTCTTTCTTTTTTTCTTTTCTCCATTCTCAAAACTAGCTATTTTACTACTGCCACGTAAAATGTGAAGTTTTAAAGAAAAATTACCAACCGGTGATACTAATAAAAAATGATTACAACACTGGTTTGCTGTGGACAGGAAAGGTGCTCTCCCCATCCTCTTCTGCCAGCTGCTGAAGTTAATTGATTCAGCTGGGGGCCAATCCATCTGAGGGTTGTGCTGTGTGGAGTAACTAGGCTTAGCATTTTTGGAAGTTGATGATTTCTGGTCTGCTATAGTGGGAAGGCTGAAGGCAAAGGGTTAATGGGCTGTGTTGTTTGGGAAGTCTATCTCTGATTATGGGGCTCCAGGTTGACTCTTGCTGGAATTTTTGCAGTTTAATTCAATATTGGTCTGCTGTTGGTAGATGGGGGTAGGTGCATGCTGGTTATGAGATTTGGTACACATAGTGGGTCTGATGCTGTTATATACTCCAAGGAGAATATCATGTTTTGGTTGCTACCCCATCACATATTAATAGAGATGAGTGGGTTTGGTTTGCTATGTTTGAGCTGTGGGAATTCATTTTTGGTGATTGTAGTGCCTATGCTTTCTGTTTTTTCTGGTTTTTTCTTTGTTGTGTTTGCTCGTTGGTTTCTCACCAACTTGGAGGTTGGTGCTTGTTTTAGCTCCAAGTTCCACTTTATTGATGTAATTTTCCTTTCCATCAATAAAGTTTTCTTTTTGCCGATCAAAAAAAAATGAAAAGGTTTACGACTTTAACTAGGTATCAGATTATCAAACTGTAAGAATTTCCTGATATCGTTTTTTTTTTCTTTCTTTTTTTCTTTTCTCCATTCTCAAAACTAGCTATTTTACTACTGCCACGTAAAATGTGAAGTTTTAAAGAAAAATTACCAACCGGTGATACTAATAAAAAATGATTACAATTCATGAAAAGGTTTACGACTTTAACTAGGAAAATTTAGTCAAAATTTTTTCACTGGACTCTTATTTGGTAAAAAGGACAGTCTAATTTATTTTCTTCATAAACTCTCTAAGGAGATAATAATTGAGTAAGAATAAAATAAAATATTTTCTTTTTTTTTTCTCCCCTTTTTTGGACAATATTGTCAGATTAACATGTTATTCTGAGATAGAGTAACATGTTACTGTCAAATAGAGTAATTATCAAACAGAGTAACATGTTATTATGAGATAGGGTAACATGTTACTGTCAAATAGAGTAATATGTTACTGTTACGGTTTACATCAATTTCAACGGTAATAAAAATAAATTATAAAGAATTTCATAATCAACATAGATTTTATTTGATAGATCTTAGTGAAAGAATTTTAAAAATATTAATTTTATTAAAAATTACATCAAAAATTATATTATTTTAAATTTAATATTTTGATAATAGTGATATTTGTTGAACTTTTCAAGAAATTTTTTTTTGTACTTATCCTTAATGCCTTAAAATTTTATTATGAGCGGGTTTTGACCAAATCCTCCATTTAATTATTAATATGTACAAAGTTTACCACTTATTTGTAATTTTTTACGAAAACCTACACTGAAGAAATTTCTCCAAGTTTTTAATTTTCTTTGGACAAAATACATAGCGTTTGTTGGGATGGATTTTTTGGTGCCAACCTAGTTGGGATGATTTAACTCATTGTGATGCTTTTGCACTTCCCTCTTCTTTTTTTGATGTAGTTCGTTTTGTACTTTGTACTTGTTTTCTACATCAATAAAAAAAAATTTTGCCGATCAAAAAAAATAACGTTCGTTATAAATTAGATGAATTAAGCTGAATATGGTGTTATTTAAATTTGATTTAAAAAATTTACCAAATTAATTTTTTTCCCTTTTCTCTTCGGTCTAAGTCCTAGTTGTTTATTTATTTATTATAATGAAAATAAATTTATCGATTCAAGCTCAAAAATCAATTGAGCTATTTTGTGCAGCTTACAAAAATTATTTATATCTTCATTTTTATTTATTATTATTATTATTTTATTTTTTATGCTAGTGTTTGACGCAGTTTTTACTTATTACTTATAAGGAAAAAAACAATTTTAAACAAGCTCATTTTTTAGAATGCTGGAAATTATATTTATTTTTTCATTATCAACTTTCAATTTGAGAAAAATTACACCAAATATTCTTAATAAGTTTATAATTCCTTTACATCAATCAAATCACTTTTTCTCTAATAAAAAAAATCAAATTATGTTTAAGTATAATTTATTTACTTTACAAATAGATATCAAATGAGTTTTTAATTAACTAAATACAAATGCAAACTTAAATAGTTAGATTTTACAATAAGCAACTTTATTGTACTGAATCAAGCTTTTTCTATGAAAATGCAATCAAATATATATATATATATATATATATAATATATGATTAGCTTGAATAAAATTAATAATACAGATGGGTTACTGTGCTTTTGAGGATGTGCTTTGGTAACAGCTATGAAGGCCGTTTCTAAGCTTTTGCTTTAGTACTAGTCAAGAGACTCTCAAAACAAAGGCAGGGTATGAGAGCCCTTAAAGCCTTTATTTATTTATAAAAAAAAAAAAAAAAAAAACCAACTTGTTTTTCTTTCTATCCTGTTATCTCTCTCTCTCTCTCTCTCCTTTGCCCTTACTTTCTCTCTCTAAAAACCGCCTACAAGAGCTGCTTAAATTAGCAAAGAGTTAAAGGTGGTATATAGGGTATGTGATGCCTTTTCCTTTATCTCACTGGCTTCAGTTAAAGTAGAGGGAATTCTGGTGTTTTCCATGGTTAAAGCAGGTTTTATAGCTCAAACCCCTCTACTGTGACAGTTTCTTCTTTTCCCCTCCCTCTTTCCTCTTCTTCTTATTCCACCTAACTCTCTCTCTCTCTCCTCTTCTCTTCTCTTGGCCTTTCTAGTTTTTCTTTGATAATATTTCCACTTTTGGGTAATCTATCATCTGGGTTTTGTTCAATTTCTTCAAATTCATCTCACTTTTTTTTTTGGTTGTGTTATGGCTGAATTACTAAACTTTTTCTTGTTTGTGTTATGGCTGAATTACTAAACTTTTTCTTGTTTGTGTTATGGCTGAATCACTAAACTTTTTCTTGTTTTTCTTCTTGAATCATCCCTGCAAGTCATAATTTTTTTTGCCAATATAATAAATTAGTAGACTTCCATGATTTTATGTCCATCCTAACGTACTCATCAATTTTGTTTTTGTTTTTGTTTTAACAGAACATCAGATCCATCTCTATCAGTATTTTGACTCTAGCAGATGGATGTTGATTGATATCGAAGTTCCAACCGTAGAGGGTAAATTGGGGCATGTGATTTTGATTAATTTTGTTGAAGAAGAGTTTCAACTGAGTTAATAAAAAGGAGGAGGCATCGCGGTACGTTCCAAGTGTTAGCCATGAATAAGAATCAGTTGGGTGGTTCTATCAGTAGTTCTGATCTTATTGATGCAAAGCTTGAAGAGCATCAGTTGTGTGGATCCAAACAGTGCCCCGGTTGCGGACACAAGCTTGAAGGAAAGCCGGTACGGATTATAATTTATATCTCATAATAATATTCTTGGCTTCAACAATAAGATTTTCACAAAAGAATAATCAAATAAGATAAGAATGATGCTTCTTGTTTAATTCTTTTCTTTCTTTTTTTTTCTTTTTCTTTTTTTTTTTTTTTTTTTTTTGAGTAATCTTATTTCTACTTGATAATTTTTCCATTTTAACTAAAATCAAATTTAAATGCAATTCTTCTTTTCCTTTTCTTTTTCATTTTTATTGATGATAATGGAGTTTGCAGGATTGGGTAGGTCTACCAGCGGGAGTGAAATTTGATCCAACAGACCAAGAATTGATAGAACATCTTGAAGCAAAGGTTGAAGCTAAAGACTCAAAATCTCACCCTTTGATAGATGAATTCATCCCTACCATTGAAGGAGAAGATGGGATTTGTTATACTCATCCTGAAAGACTTCCAGGTCAGAAATTAATATTTGTTCTCACTCTCTCTCTAGATGTATCATGGTAATGGGATACGTACTGGAATAGATGATACGGTCATATATCGGCCTATATCAGACAATACTAGCCTCAAAAAATGGAGATGTATGCTTGTACTAGTCTTCCCTAATTCCATCTTTAAGTTTCAAAATTGTATCTTTAATTTGATGGTTTTCTAGGGTTTGTTTCATCATCCCTTCCTGTCGGTTATGACTTTTGGGTATTCTGTTGTGTCACTTAGTTTGTTATACCTAAGTAAACCTAACTTTGATTTTGGCTAAACTTGCACTCTTTCTTTCAGGAGTCACAAGAGATGGCTTGAGTAGGCATTTCTTTCACAGACCTTCAAAGGCCTACACAACCGGTACACGAAAGAGACGGAAAATCCAAACCGAATGTGACCTACAAGGCGGAGAAACACGGTGGCACAAAACCGGGAAGACGAGGCCGGTCATGGTAAATGGAAAGCAAAAAGGGTGCAAGAAAATTCTAGTCCTCTACACAAATTTCGGTAAGAATAGAAAACCCGAGAAAACCAATTGGGTTATGCATCAATACCACTTAGGTCAATATGAGGAAGAGAAAGAAGGAGAACTTGTGGTTTCAAAGATATTCTATCAGACTCAGCCGAGGCAATGTAATTGGTCGGAGAGGAGTACTGGAACCACCGCCACCACCACTGGAGAAGGAAACAGCGAGCCCATTAGCAGAAGAGATAGCGGTGGCAGTGGGAGTTGCTCTTCCAAGGAGGTAATTAATCAGAGAGATGAACTGTCTGCTGCAGCTGGTGTTGGAGCTGCAATGTCAAGTTATAGTGCCATGGACATTCAACAATTGAAAGCTGACCAATTTAGCTTTGCCCCATTTAGGAAAAGCTTTGATGAGGTAGGTATCCATACATACGTGATGCTAGCTCATTCAATGTTTTTTACAGACTATTAAATAGTTGATAACCTATCCTAGTTAAAAGCTTAGGTTAAATCTATGGTTTTAAAATAACGGAATATATATATTAATGTCGATGATAGGGTAATATATTGGCTGATATTGGATGAGATTGGTATCGAAAGTCCAAATTCCAAAATGTATTGGCTGATATGATATGTATGATCAGCTGATATTGGGACTATATGGTGCAGTTTAAGGAGAATCTTATGATTTTTTTCTTTCAAAATATGTGGCATAGTGTTTGAAGTAGCTTTTGTTTGTTTATAGATTTAGAAATAGTATAAATAAATTGAAAAAAGTGTATGATTGAGAAGTAGAGATGTATTTTTATTTTTTATTTTTTGATAATCAACTTTCAATTTGTTAGAAATTGCATCAAACAATCAAGAGCTTGGCCCATTCACGATCTATTGACTACTCAAATATCATGGTAAATTGTTGATGAGTATCTTATCAAAAAATTATATTATTAAAAATAAATATGATTTTATTATTTATATTCTATGTGCATGTATGTATGTATGCATTAAAGTTAGTAGATTCATTTCTTCTTGTTTTTTCTTCTTCTTTTGGGCGTGTAATCCATGTTGGTGTTGTTGTTGATGTAAAAGATTTAGCAACTAACATCAACTGAGTCTTACATGTTGAACAACAACAACAACGCAAGGTAAAAAGGGATGAATACAAAAAGTTCAAGGGTTGCTTTTGTCATCATATTTCTTGCTTGCACACGCAGACACAGTATGAAAACTATATGAAACTCACTTGATAATAACTGTCATCTAGCAAAACATCCTAATTACGCACCAAAAGACAAGAAAAGAAAAATACCAAAGCAATGCACAAACTCAATGAGAGAGATAGAGCTAAGAAAGATAAAGAGAGAGAACAAAAAAAGGAAAAGAGAGAAAAGAAAGAAAAGAGAAGTTGAAAATGGACAACATATAGTTAGATAGCAAACTGTTTTCATGGATGGGGTGTTCGTTTGTTTGCAGGTTGGAGTGAGTGAGGCTTCAACTGTAAGGGAGGCACAGGCATCAGTCACGTGCGAGGAGCGTGACTTCCACGAGCACCAAAGGGCTCATCACGTGACCCATGAACAACATCAACATCAACATCAACATCAACATCAACAACAACAACATCAGATGGCCACAACAGCATTCCACATTAGCAGGCCTTCACACTCAATATCTACCATCATCTCTCCACCTCCACTCCATCACACCTCCATTATTCTTGATGAGGTCTCCAGATTAATGCTCCAAAATGAAAATTTCCAGGTAACCAACACAACCCAACTCTTTTTTTTTTTGTTTTTTTTTGGGGGGGACCTAACGTTATGCCTTTCATCATTTGAAAATAAACACATAATCTTCTTATAATTTATGGATTAAAGTGTATCAGAAGACAACCAACTAGACCTAACTTAATTGGTCACCATAATTCTCTCAAGGGTTCAGTTTTGAGTAACATTAGAGACTCCAAAAATTCTACTAAATGTCTCACATGAGTGTGAGACTCACACCATGTGAGTCTTTTGATAAAACTTGTGGTAGAACTTTTGAGATTTCTAACCCTACTCTTCAATTTTTTGTAAAGGTGGAGAAACTTATTCTTATTGATACTAATCTAACAATTAACAATTAATTTTCGCCGATCAAAGAGAAAAAAGTGCATCAAAAGACACATAAGTGAATTTTGCTTCAAAGAAAAATGAAAAACTTTCTATGATTTGCACAATGAAATAAATTAATTATGTACAAAGATATTTTAGTCTTTTTACTTTAATTATTAATGGGCCGACATTACACTTTATCTCAATCATAAGAGTAATATTATATGTTTATTTCTAAATGATAAGAAATCATTATGTGTTTATTTTTAAATGATAAACAATTATGCGAGCACATAAATCAAATTATAAGAGAATAAAGTGAAATTTAATTATTCATATTTTTTGAAAGGGCTAAAAAAGAAAATATGTTGATGTAAAAGAAAGGAGTACAACCCAAATCTTATTTTCTTCATATTCTTAAAAGTATCACAAATCTCTCTCCATGTATATGCGGCCAAATTGGTAGCTGTTGAGTTGAGATAACATTTTGTATTCGAATGTTTCAATATTTTTACCTTATCTATGTCTAAATACTTTTACCATTTCCCTTACCATCCCCTTTATTGATGTATTCTACTATGTCTCATACGTTTTCACGAATAAAATTTCCTTTTTTTGTTGATAAAAAAAAAAATACATCATGTAACAAAAATTGCTCTCAGAGTGTAGGGAGATATCCAATTACCTCATGCCAAGTTTCACCTTGACCATATATACAATTATGGTGCACCTGTAAATTATGAAAAATGATTAGAGAAAGTCTAGCTTCGCATAAAATAATTCCAGACGGACTGACAAATCGAATATTCATATTTGATGTTGTTATTGTGAGTTCATAGGTAAGTGAATCTTGGTTATTGATTGAGAATTCTTAATATTTTTCTACTTGTTTATTTTCTTAAACATTTATTTCATAATTTCTTTTCAATTTGTCAATGACCAGTTTTTTAAAATTTATTTAAGTTATTTTTACATCATAACATAAGCAAAACCAAACACTTTGTCACAAAAAAAGTACAACAAATTATATTGATAGTTTCTATACTTTTTTATTTGTGTCAATTTAGTCTATGCATTTTCAATGGGCTTGATTTTGGCTCAAAAAATTTAATTTTCCAAAAGCAAACATGTATCTCAATTTGATCTATTCAATAATGAATGCTATATTTTTGGACCATTTCTTAAAAGCAAACATGTAAACATTTTTTGGTCTAAAATATAATATCTGTTATTAATTGGATCAATAGAGATAAAACAAAATTTTCGGAAACAAAATCAAGCCAATAAAAGCATAACAACCAAATTAATAAAATAAATAAATAAATAAAAAACAAGAATAGGGTAATTCGCCCAAAAAAAAAAAAATTATAAAAAGTAAACGGCACTAAATAAGAACTTTTATTGTCAGCTAAGTTGCAAACAGGTAATAATATCATTGATTTCTGCAGACAATACATGATCTTATAGATGATTGTGTCTTGTTTTTTTTGTTCTAAATGACTATGATCTTTTGGCAGCAACAACAGCAGCAGCAGCAACAACATCATAAAATGGGAGGGAGGTCTGCTTCAGGATTGGAGGAACTCATAATGGGTTGCACATCCACTGATATGAAAGAAGTGAGTATCTAACTTTTTGACTCTGAAATTAATGTGCCTTGTGTGTCACCATATCAACTAAGCCTAGATGGAAGAAAAAAAAAAAAAGGTAAACAAGAAGGATTAAAAAAGACAGACAAGGAAACATCTGCTTCTTTATTACTATTATTTAAAACTAAAGAGCCAAATTAGAAGCCTTTTCTTTTCTCTTTTACTTTTTCCTCTTTTCTATTTTTATAGGTGATTTTTATTTCCATATAAAGAATACACTGTGAAAAATGAGAAGTTATTTGGCGGTTTGGGGATGTGACTATGTGGCGTCTCAAGAGCTCTGTGATTGGAAGAGGTTGAGCTCGTAATTTTGTATTGAGTGATTGAGAAAGAACAAAGGACATAGTGCATAATGATTGGTGAGAGATATGGACAAGTGTCACCTCTGGAGCATCAAATAATTTTTTTGTGAAAAATACCAAAAAATTGGAAAATGATGCAGTTTCCTCTCCTTGGAGTTTGGGGTGTACTTGTTCTTTAATTGTTAATAAAATTTCATTTTTTAGCGATAAAAAAGAAAAAGAAAGTGTATATATGTTTTTCTATAACTAGGAATCCTATGTTTTCATATTTTCAATACACTCTCAGCTCTACGATGTAATGGGAGTGCAAAATATGAAAATTTAAAGGCAGCTCGAAGTACATTATGAACTTTCCTTATTTGAACCTACGTTGTTATGAGAGAGAATGTAAGAGTACTTTTAGAAGAATCCTAAGTAGAAAAACTGAAAAAAAAATCCCTTATCTTTTTTTTCTTGTACATAAGATATTATAAGGATCATTTTGGCATAGCAAGAAGTTAAAGTATACATTAGGGGCAATGTGTATTCACCCTACACAGGTACTCTTTCTTTTGTCTTTTTTATTTTTTGAACATGGGTTATCCTAGAGATAATGTTAAGTACTACTACTTTAAAAAGAATCCTAAGCCTCCGTTTGGGAATGAGGGTTTGGGCTAAAATAGTCATATAAAATAAAATAGACTATTTTAGCCCAACAAGACAAAACATTACATCCAACCCATAATAATTACATTCTTCTTCTTACAAAAAGTCAAAAAAGTCAAAAAGTCCTTCCCAAACAAGATATTTTTAGTTCCAGGTTAAAATAACTAAAAAGCCAACCCATTTCTCAAACAAATCCTAAGTATAACTGAAAAACAAACCCTTATCTTTTCTTCTTATCATTTTGAATTAGGTGTAAAAATGTGTTTTTGCCTCAATTCAGAGTGTGTGTGTGTTTTGTATTTTTTTTTTTAATTAAAAAGAAAAGGGGCGAAAAAACTGAATTTCATGCTAGTAAGAGCAAAATCCCAACTGTATCTAACAAAGAAAATGATGGGTAACTAGAAAAGATTTTCCTCATATGATATCCTCGACCTTAAAAAACACAAAAGAACACAAATTAAGAATTAATTTAAAAAGATGTTAAAAAAAAAAAAGAAGACAATGACCCAAAAAACTTCTCATGCCTGGTCTCCTAAGAAAAAATAAAAATACAGAGACAACTTGATTCATTTAAAAAAAGGACAAAAGAGGCAGTTTCTTCAGTTATTCTTCCTTGTTTTTTTTTGTTTTCGTTTTTAACCCTAACCCTTTTCTGCACATGCTTCCATTCTTATAGCAGGAGTCATCCATAACAAATCCACAAGAATCAGATTGGTTGAAGTACTCCAACTTCTGGCCTGATCCTGACAACCCAGATCATCATGGGTAGTAGCAAGAAAAGAAAATCAGAGAAAATAAACAAAAACCTATAGAAACTATCTATGGTCTGCTCCTTTTTTTTTTCTCTCTCTTTTCTTGTGGGAGGGTCGAAAACTTAAGGTCTGTTGGCTCAACTGAACTAACTGTACAAACAACCGATGTTGGAAAAGAAAGAAAGAAGAATATCAAAAGGAAAAAGAAAGAGCTACAAAGAAAAGAAAAGTGACCAAGAAAGGCTGCTCTCTACTGACAATAGAAGGGGAAACCAAAGACCCAAAGCAAATCCCATATCCTGCATGAAAATCATCACCATTATGATTACAATATCATCTTTTATGCCCTATTCTTAATATTTGTTTATTATAGTTGTTTGTATAATTTCTTTTATTGTTTTTTTTTTTTACAAGACAAACACGTTAGGGTTTGTGCAAATTGCATGCAAAAGAAACTTTGCTAAATGTGTCATGGACAGTCACTTTTCGAATAGAATATGTATTGTATAGAATGAATTCCCTTTATAGAAATGAAAATGTGTTAAAGAAATTATAAATTTTATTAATGCTCTCAATTTTTCCACTGCTTGGATATTTTCGGAAAATTATATGTGGGAAGTTTTAAAAGTTAGATCATGCGGTTGATCGGACCCATTAGCTTGAAAGCTCAAATCTATAGAGGATTGTGATATGTCGGATCCTTCATTTATATTCTTCTCTAAAGAAAAATATAAGAATTTGGTCATTTAATATGGATAAGATTGTCTAATCATATGACTTTTCACCTGAGCTTTTATAACTGATAACATATCAATAATGGTGTACACAAGTTTTTATTTAATAGTCCTTGGTATTAGATTCCAACTAAAGTACCCATAGTATCACTAGTGGTGATAAATTTGTCAAATTTATATTTGGTCTTCAAATTGATTCAGATCCATTCGAATTGATCATATATATTCATGTTAGGTAAATTCTAAATCTTATTCTTAAGGATAGATGTTTCAAAGTTATCTATATGTCATAAGTACGCTAATAATTATGGAAGTATTTATTCATAAGTTCATGAACTACTGTACCAGTGTCTATTATAACTAAACAGTTAAGTTAACTAAACAGTTACTAATCAGTTACAATAGACACACTCTTCTGGTACAACAGTCCATAAACTTATGATGCACCCACAGATATATCACATGAGGTCTTCTCCTTATCACTTATGTGTGCTATAGTGATATATGACAGTCCTCTTTAAATACTGTTATATTGTTATCATTGCTAGGTTATGTAAAAGCACAAGCACATATATGTTGAATTATGTTATGAAATACTTAAATAAGTAAATTATTTGATTGATCATACTCTTCTCACAACTAAATTATTTGCTTGCTTTAGGTGAAAGAATAGCTTGTATTGACGTAGCTGTTAGCTCATTTAGAAGGAATTCAATTGTAGATGGATCAAAACCACGAAGTGATGTCTTTAATTCACTCTTCAACTGGACTACATGGGATCCATTATCTTCAGATCAAATAATTTTAAAAAATTTTAATAACAAATGTATTTATCTATTTTTTTTTTATCGGCAAAAAAAGAAACTTTATTGATAAAATAAACAAGTACAATGTACAAAACATGTTACATCAATAAAGGAAAAGGGAGTGCAAAAGCATCACAGTGAGCTAAATGATCCCAACTAGGTTGGCACCATCGAGCACACCCTATCATTTGCTAGCACCCCATGTTACAAATGTATTTACCTATAGCATCACTTTTTCTACGAAAAGACTAAGAATCCAAAATTTTATCCAAAATAATAATGTATGGATAAGATTCAATTACTTTATTATAGGATAGTGATGACTTAGATGAATTTAAACCACACAACTCATTTATAAGATTGTAATGTTGTTACTCTTTCTATATATGCCTCTAGCATTGTCATTGGTTTTGACTTTTTTACCCATTAGGAATAACAAATAGAATGTAGACACATGGGATTGAATACTTCCAAAAGAGAAAAGATTTTTGGGTAAACTTCATATCAATGTCTTGATAATTTTGAACAGTGGATGGGGGTACTTTTCAAGTGCATTCATTGGGTAACTTTTGGCTCTAGCTAGCTAGCATAAAGGAAACGAAGGTAGGAAGGAAGGAGGATGGGCTTGGAATCTTACATCATATATATGTAATGTATATAAAATGTTAGTAACAGAACTCAAATTTTAAGTCACTCTATTTGTTTTCTGTTACTTACTAATGTGAGCTTTTTTTTGCTTTATTCTATTCCAGATACAAGCTTTTTATGTATCTATATATATATATATATATAGAGAGAAAGAGAGAGAGAAGTAACGTGCATGGTACGGTTTCTTTATATATAGGACGTGCATGAAAGAAAGCTAAATCCCAACATGGAGGCAGCTTCATCGTAGTTTCTGAAGGGATCGAATAAAGACAGAGAACAAAGAATGAGAGAGAGAGAGAGAGAGAGAGAGGACGACAAGAATAAGCTTTAAATTATCTTCGTTTTGCAATCTCGTACTCCTACATCATTGGGACTCAAATTTATCTTCAATGGATTCTCTTACTAGTGAGATTTTTCAATTTTAACCAAAGGACTCGCTTGGTAATTAAGACATGGATTCGGAGATGGACTTCTTTAACGATTTTATATTTCAAATTTCTTAACTACAAATAATTTGTTGAGACTAGTCGCCACGAAAAATTGTCTCAGTTTTAATTAAACCTCTCACTAATAAATTGAAGAATTAATCTCATTAATTAATCAATCTATTGAATTAAATACCTAGTCATCATTATATATGTGTAAAACTGTAAGATAATTAGGCCTCGTTTGGGAACAGACTAATTTAGTAACTTTTTGGCTATTTGGCTAAAATATTAGCTAAAAAAAACTAGTATGTTTGGGATGACTTTTTGACTTTTTACGAAAAGGTGTGCAAAAAGTAGAGAAAAAAGAGAATCTTTGACTTTTTGGTATGGGTTGTTGGCTTTTTGGCTAATTTAGTAACTTTTTGACTTTTTGACTAAAAGAGAGGGTTCCTAAACGAGGCCTTATTCAGTAATTTCAAAATATAGATACGTAGTATTTTATTTATAACTAGACAGATTTTTTTTTTTTTTGATTAACAAAGAAAATCTTTATTGATGACGAAATTATACATTACATATTGGAATACATCAATAAGGATGAGAAAGAAAAAATGAGAAAAATGATAACCAAGCATAGTGTTGGTGAGAAAACAACACTAGCTCAGAGGACCACAAACATTTGTTACCACGACTCAGAACAACATCACCCAGAACCAGAAAAACCAATTCCTTGCAGCAGATCCAATAACCAAAACTGAAATTCTTGCAGATGCTACACATTCCTTCATCCAACTCATCCATTTGCTCCCAAAGCCAAAGTTTGATAACATAGAAAACAAAAATTCTCAATTCACTGAGTCAAAGGCTTTTTCAAAATCAAGTTTAAGCACAATACCACTATCACCAGCCTTCTTCCAGCCATCTACCATCTCATTTGCAATAAGGATACCATCTAAGTTATTTTTACCCTTGATGAAAGTTGATTGAGTTTCATTTATGATTCTTGGCAGCACTTGGGTCAACTTATTAGATAACACCTTGGCCAAAATTTTGTACAAGGAACCAACTAAACTGATTGGCCTATATTTATTTAGGCTAGTTGGATTCTCAACTTTTGGAATTAAAGCTATGAAAGAGTTATTTAAACCTCGAACCAACTTAGCATTAAGGTGAAAATCCCTCATAAAGTGCAAAACATCCTCTTTAACTATACTTCAACATTTTTAAAAAAAGCCCAAATTAAAACTATCTGGCCCAGGAGCCTTATTACCCCCACAAGATTTGATGGCATTTTTGATTTCCACCTTTGTGAACTCTGCTTCTAAAAGGCCGGAATCATTAGCATCCCCAATTGGTCTTATCTCTCAAGATTCAGCAAAATGATTACTGAAATGATTCAACACCTCTGTTCTAACACCTATTGGATCTTCAATATTAATTCCATTCACTAGAATTGAGCATAAGGCATTCTTATTGCGCCTACAACTTGCCACAGAATGGAAAAAATAGGTGGTTCTATCGCCCAATGTTGCCCAGTTGAGTCTGGATTTTTGAAGTCACAACCTCTCCAACATTTTATTCATCTTCCAAGCATCACTGTGCAAAACTCTTCTCCTAGCCAGTTCATTTGCAGATAATGCCCTTTCTTCAGCAATTAGATCAAGGACATGAGCTTCATTTTCTGTAGCTTTTAATTTGTTCTCCACATTTCCAAACACCTCGATGTTCCACTTCTTTAGGGCAGATTTCAAGGATTTGAATTTGACTAAACATTTAAAACCAGCCCAACTCATCACTTGTAATTCAGACCAAGCTTTCTCAACAAATGATAAGAACTAAGGATGCATAGAACAGACATTAAGGCACCCAAAAAGGTTTGGGGCCCCAATCTCTGTCATCTTCCATTAGAAGAATGGGGCAATGGTCAGAGAACAATCTTGGTAATCCCCATAACTTAAAATTAAAAGACTGCAACCAATCTGGGTTCAGTAAAAATCTATCTAACATGATCTATATTTTATTCTGATATGAATTACACCATGTGAACTTCCTTCCACACATTGATAGATCAAACACCTCTAACTGCTCAATCATTTCATTGAACTCTCTCATCTCTTTATCCCTCCTAGAGCATCATTTTCTTTTAAAGATACACCTAATTTCATTAAAATCACCCCCCAAACACCATGGAAATAAGAACTGTGATTTGAGCCTCACTAGAATATCCCACACCCCTTTCTTTCTATCAGGATCGTTTGACCCATAAACACTCACCACTACACAATTAAAGTTGAAAAAGATCGTACCAGTGAGTAGGAGAAAATTGCGATTGCAACAGTATTGACTGAGTTAAAAGATCTCGCGATTCCAGATGCAGAGTAACCCCCCAACTGCACCCTTTGAATCAGCTGACATGAATTCCACTTTTTCTCCAGCCCAAATAGAGTTCACAAACTCTACATTGATTCCCTGCTTTTTAGTCTCTTGTAACAGCACCATGTCAATCTTCCTTTTCTTGGGAATCTTCTTGATCATCTTTCTTTTTTCAGGCCTTCCTAGCCCCTTTATATTCCAAGACAACAACTTCATTAATAAAAATTAGCACTCCTGAACCTCTTGGAATAGTCATTCAGCTGACTACTCTCTTCTCATTTTTTTGAACCATTTCCATGTCCTTTGCTTCCAATTCAACGAGTTTGCTCACAACCTCCTCCTCTTTATCTTCAAAGTTCAACCCAAGAGCTTTCCCCATTTGTAAAGTTGCTTCAGTCTCATTGAGTAGCATCCTACCTCGATCGGATTCACTTGCCATAAAAAGAGAAATTGTTGCAGCAGCAGATATAAAAACTGCTCCTTTCCTGAGATTAATAGATGGCCCTAGTATGTTGTGACCAAGCTCAAGACCACCTTTCTTGTTTCAAACTTTTCTTCACA